GCAGCTGCATCACTACCCACTTCAAACCCCTCCGAGCCATACATGAAGCAAACCGACACCCACTATGAAGATGCAGAAGGACCACGAACTCGAAGCCAAACAGCAAGATCACAACTCACCAGCTCAAATCCCCCAGCAACTAAGACTAACCTGAGCACAACCAAGCCCCCACCTGAACAGAACACGCCTCCAACCAATCAGAACACGGCTAACCCCCCAACCAATCAGAACACAGCCAAACCCCCTACCAATGAGAACACACCCCCACCCAATCAGAACACAGCCAAGCCCCCACCCAATCAAGTCCCACCCCCACTGGCAGTTAAAAGGAGGAAGCAGCTGCAATCTCACATTACTCTGAGAAGCACAGAGCCGGAGACAGAAGCCTGAAGATGATGAATGAGACTTCATCGAAACGTTGCCTAGATACTTCGAATCTTACGCGGGAGAAAACCCGAACAACCAAAGATCCACATACAAATACCCGCGAGAACCTCAGAAAACATATATATATATATATATATATATATATATACATATATTTACAAATAATCAATATTACTTTGTGATTTCTCATTCATTATCATTTGACATCTTTGTGTCTTTTCCTTAACCATTTCTACCAAACATCCCATATCTTGTAATATTCACCTTCTCCCTTATTTTTTAGTAACATCGTCAATCTGACTATTTCGGCCCATTCAAATATCTTATTAATTACTGCGATTTCTGAGGAGATCATAGCCTGTTTCCAGTTTTGGCCGAAGGAAATTCTAGTAGAAGTGATAATATGAAGTATTAGATGTTGATGAGTTTTATTTAAGTTAGGTTCTAACTTTACTGGACTTTTTGGTTTTTCTTGGAAGAAAAGAAGAAAAGACAAGAAAGTCCAGTTGCCTCTTGAAAATGCACCTTTGGGACAACCATAACCTGAATGACTGAGAATCTCTATAGACAAATAGCAATCACACTTTGGCTTGTATACCGCTTCACAGTGCTTCGTAGCCTCTCTAAGCAGTTTGCGGAGTGAGCATATTGTCCTCATTTTACCCAGTGGTAGGATGCTGCCGGTTCGCACTGGTTCTACTGATCCGGTAGCTCTGGTGAACAGCTAAGCCCTGCCCACCCACCCCGCCCTTTCCTGTCCTATATTTCCTTGTTTTTTAAACTCATCTGATTCGCTTGGTAGAGCGGATCGCTACCCCCTCGGAAGGTTGGAAGGCTGAATCAACCTTGAGCCTGGTGAGGTTCGATCTGCCAAATTGCAGGCAGCCAGCAGTCAGCAGAAGTAGCCTGTAGTACTTCATTCTAACCACTGTGCCACCAATGCTCCCCATCTTAAACCATCTCTTGTAAAGCTTCCAAGGAGAATCCCGTAATCCCTTTAATCCCATTGACATGCCTAAGTCAGATAACAGATAATCAGAGTTGGAAGGGACCTTGTAGGTCATCTAGTCCAATCCCCCATCCAAGCGGGAGACCCTACACCATTTCTGACAAGTGGCAGTCCAATCTATTCTTGAAAGTCTCAAGTGATGCTGCTCCCACAACTTCCGAGGACAAGCTGTTCCTAGACAAGTCCTTGTCTTTCCTTTCCTCTACTTGCTTCAACCATGTCAAACCCAATTATTCTTCTAGTTGATCATCCTCTCACATTCATCTATCCAAAGTAAATGAGTTTCTGCTGGTTGATCGTGTCCTTAAGGAAGCAGTCACCATGTTATTTGGTCAGAGATTGATTAGGTGGTTGGTTTGCAATCCATGATGCTTCTTGTTATCTTTTTCTAATCCATCTTCAGTTTTCTGTCATCAACCTTCAATTTACCAAGCATGCAGATTGACATTGTATGAGAATAACCTGGATTTTTCACTCATCGTTGAAGAGGACAGGCTCACGGGAAGAGGACAGGCTACCTTCAAACCTGGATTTTTCACTTACTGTTGAAGAGGACAGGCACTGGAAGAGGACAGTCTACCTCCCAAAAGTCCAACACGTGGACTGCTAGTACCCTGTCCCTTTAAGACATCTCCCTAGTTGGTCCAGCAACTGGTAGCTATGAAAATTGAGCAGAGAGGCAGCAGGATGAGGTGGGGTTGGTTTGGAAGTGAGAAGGCAGGTGGTTTATGTTTGGGAAACCAAAAGAGACTGAAGGCAAATAGACGAGTTAGAGAAGAATATAGAAAATAAAAAAATTGCCAGTGCAGTCCTAGACTGCATTAACCGAGGGATAAGAATCAAATTCACATGAGGTGTTAATACCACTTTGTAATGCCTTGGTAACTCCTCAAATGGAATATTGCACCCAGTTTTGGTTGCCACGATGTTGAGACACTGGAAAGCGTGCAGAGAAGAGCAACAAAGGTGATTAGGGGACCGGAGGCTAAAAGATATGAAGAACGGTGGCAGGAACTGGGTATGTCTAGTCTAATGAAAAGAAGGACTAGGGGAGACATGATAGCAGTCTTCCAATATCTCAGGGGCTGCCAGAAAGAAGACGGGGTCAACCTAGTCTCCAAAGCTCCAGAAGGCAGGACAAGGAACAATGGATGGAAACTAATCAAGGGGAGAAGCAACCTAGAACTAAGGAGAAACTTCCTAACAGTAAGATCGATTAACCAGTAGAACAGCTTGCCTACAGAAATTGTAGGTGCTCCATCACTGGAGATCATCCCCATAACTCTGCCTGCTCTTATCCTACATTGCAGTGTGTTTTAAATCCCACAAATATTCAGATCTGTGTAAAACAGAACTGCCCCCCAGTGATTTCTAGCAACTCTCACTATTTATGACAATATATGTTGACCATTAAACAAATTGAACCTCATTACAGTTATGGCAACCATATAAATGCAAATCAGGCTCTAGATGGGTTTTTCTCCCCCTTTCCATTATCTATATAGTTTTTGTATTTACTTTTACAGCTCAACTGTTCAGGAGTTAATCCCCTTTGCACAGCAAATTGTACCATCGGACATTATATTAAAATTAATTAAGTCCTTGAAATTCAATAGGTACCATTCACAGCTGAAGTGCTTAAGACACCGATAAAAAGAAAGAATGCACATGCAAATCAAGAAAACAAATTGCCAAACAGTTTTACAGAGTTGTAATACTACTACTACTAATAATAATAATAAAAAGGACTGACACTGCTCTAATTCTAAATCTTTCCCTTGTTGTAAAGGTTTGGCACTCACAACTTCCAGATCTTCCTTTAAGGCATGTTCCGTTTTGTCACTTCTTAAACAATGCTCCTAGTGACGTTTTGCTTCTTAATGCACCGAGGAGATTTTGCAATCAAAAATTCTTCCGAGAATATTCAGTGATTTAATGTAACCTGGATTATGATGAATTTTCTGCATAATCAGAAGGGATAGAATCAAGATCACATGAAGTGTTAATGCTACTTTATAATGCCTTGGTAAGGACTCACTTGGGATACTGCATCCTGTTTTGGTTGCCACAGTGTAAAAAAGATGTTGAGACTTTAGAAAGAGTGCAGAGAAGAGCAACCAGGATGATTAGGGGACTGGAGGCTAAAACATATGAAGAACGGTTGCAGGAACTGAGCATGGCTAGTCCAGTGAAGAGAAGGACCAGGGGAGACAGGATAGCAGTCTTCCAATTATCACAGGGATACAATCAAGATCAAGGGAGGTACTAATACCACTCTATAAAGCCTTAGTAAGACCACACCTAGAGTACTGCATCCAGTTTTGGTCACCACATTATAAAAAAGATGTTGAGATTCTAGAAAGAGTGCAGAGAAGAGAAACAAAGGTGATTGGGGGACCGGAGGCTGAAACATATGAAGAATGGTTGCTGAAACTGAGAATTCTGGGAATTGAAGTCCACAAGTCTAAAAGTTCCCAAGTCTGGAGACCTGTGGTTTAGAATTTGAGTCTTTCTTTCTTAGTTAAATGAAGAACCAGATGATCCCACTTTCAGCTTCTCCCCTGAACCAGCTTCAAAGGGGCCTTCAGATATCTTCTTGTGTGATTCTCTAGCCCAATGATGCCGAACCTTTTTGTTGCGGTGTGCCAAATGCTCACGCATACTTGCTGGCACTCACAAGGCAATGCGCTCCACCCCCCCTACGCATACTCGTGCAACACCCCCGCCCCACCCCCTTATCTTCACTGTGCATATGTGTGCCTCCCAGCTGATTTTCAGCCCATTTGAGGCTGTTTTCGTCCTCCTTTGGAAGATCAAGGGAAGCCTCTGCAGACTTGGGAGGCTGAAAACGGGCCCATTTCGGCACTTCCGGTATTTCCGGAAGGCCCGTTTTTCGGGTTCCCGAGAATGTGGAGTCTTCCCTCGAGCCTCTAGGAGGGCAAAAATGGCCTCAAATGGTCTGAAAATTAGCTGGGAGGCATGCGCAGTGCAGGTAAGTTTGGTTGGGGCATACATGCCTGCACAAATGGCTCTGCGTGCCACTTGTGGCATGCGTGCCATAGGTTCGCCATCACGGCTCTAGCCCTTCAGTGCCTGGATCTGATTTGATTTCTTACACAAATTGATTGTCTTTTGTTCTGCCTTATCTAAAGACTCTAAAGCCTCCTAAAAGTGTCTTCTTACCCAGCTTTCATATTACATGCAGCAACTGAATAACTTTCATCATACCTTGCAAAATTCTTCCTTTGCAGAAATATTCTCCACGTTATATCTGAACTTGAATCAGAATAGAGGTGGAAGTGACCTTGGAGGTCTTCTAATCCAACCGCCTGCTCAAGCAGGAGAACCCATACCTATGATGACCCGGGGTATGGCACAATGGCAACCCAACCAGATTTTAAGAGAGGTCTCTTTATTAGCTCCAACTTTGCTCCCAGTGTTCCGATTACCTTCTGGTCTGGAGAAAAACTCTCCCAGGAACCTGCAACAGCCCTTGGCTGCAGATATTCCAATCCAAAACCATGTAAACAGAAAACTTTAAACTATAAATCCAAGAAAGCAAGATAAGGTAATAAATCTGCCAGGGCAAGGTAAGGAGTTCCTGAAGAGAAGTAACATGGCAGTAAAGCAAACCAGTTGAGCGGATGCCAGTAATTTAGATAACAGCAGCCAACACTAGGTGATCTCAGCATTTGTTCCTGACAACCCCCCTCCTATCTGCCTCTCCTTTAAAATCCATCCCCAAGTATGTCTTGTGAAGAGAATCAGGGCCTTTTCCCCCCTCATAAGCCACACAACCCACGTTGCTCTCTTCTCTGTTCTTCTCTGCATGCTCTAGGATGAACCCCCTCTCCCTTGTTTTACCTATTTCCTGCTCTGCCCAGCCAGATTTAGCCCTTCCTCAGCCTCCTCCACATCCAACGGAGCCACTCTCCCGCTCCTTGGTGGTTGTTCATCTTCCTCCTCAGATTCAGACTCCTAAGGGGGCATGACAATACCATTTCTGATAAGCTATCCGTTCTCTTCTTAAACACTTCCAGTGATGGAGCTCCCACAACTTCTGAAGGCAACCTGTTCCACTGGTTAATTGTTCTCAATGTGAGAAAATTTCTCCTTAGTTCTAGGTTGCTTCTCTCCTTGATTAGTTTCCATCCATTGTTCCTTGTCTTGACTTCTGTTGCTGATGAGCCCTACCCAGGGATGGGATCCAATCGGTATAACTACCGGTTCTGTCGCTCTGTGTCACATGAGTGCAATTTACAACCTCCTGAGCTGCCCGGACAACTGAGCAGTGCTCCGTGCAAGTGCCCTTTTGGAAAAGAGCTTTTTTCCTGCTTTTTCAACCGCAGCTGTGTCACACAAAGCAGCTGCGGTTGAAAAAGCATGAAATAAAGGTCAGGTAAGAACCCGGGCGGGCAGGTGCACCAAAACAGCAGCAGACATAGAACCAGTTCTACATCTGCTGTTCTCCAGAACTAGCAGTTCTACAGATGTGGACAGAACCAGTAGAATCCCACACCTGGCCCTACCCCTCAAGGCTATTGTTGTTTTACAGCACCGGACGCCTCCTTTCATCTAGCACCAGCCCCCGTCCTGCTGATCATGGTGGCATCTTCCAAGGGGCTGGTTGTGTGGGGGAAGGCTCCAGAGGCTGCTACTGATGAGGGCTGCTGCTGATGACATGGCTCTTTAAGGATGAGGGGGGCGATCAGTACTAGCAACAGTCTGAGTGGAGTTGAAGTAATGCTAGCCAAGATTGCATTAGCAACCTCCTTAGGTAATTACAGGGAGTGTTTGGAAGAAGGGTGGTGGGAGGAGATGGGGTTAATGAGATAATAATAACATGGGTGTATATAAAGGGGGAGAGGAATTGTTACTCTGTAAGGCTGTTTTTGTGAGGGCATTGTTTCTACTTGCCCCATTTCAAACCTGTTGCCTGATTGTAGCCATTATCGGCATTAAACTTTCATCACTACGTCTGGTGTAGCTACGGTTCTGGGACTAAGGGCTTTGAAAGTTGCTTTGGAAAATAAGTTGGCTCCCTCTTCTTTGTGGCTGCTCCTCAAATACTTGAAGACTGTTACCATATCCCCCCCAGCCCAGTCCTTCTTTTCTCTAGACTGGCCTTACCCAAATCCTACAACCGTTCTTCTCACAACCATTCGAACTCAGAAGGAAGTCCCAACCTTGAATTAGTATGCTAAAGGACATGAACTCAAACAGATGAGCATCACAATAGGGGCTATTATTCTTAGAAATATATTACATGTTCTTTGATATATGAGAACTTTTTACAAAATTAGATTGCAGAACCGCACAGCTTTCAAACCTTACACTTATTTCAATGACATTTGCTACAATAATAGTCTAGAATGCCTAGAATTTCATCTCATTCCGTTGAAAAATAAGAAGGAAGCAGCCATTTGTGTTTCTAGCTCTACTGAAAATGAAATGAGAGAGCTTGATTTGTTTTCAAGTATTATTCCAGACACAGGCAGCAAATTGGGCTGCATTATTTTTTTTAAAGTGATGCTGGAGCAAGTCTATAGAAGCCCCCCACATTCTAATTAAAGTATCTTTGTTCTCATAAACCTTTGTGATAAATGATATATTTTCTGCTTCAGCAAAAATAGGACTCAGGCAAGATTAATTATCATTATTAATGTTGGGATGACAAGTGGATTTATACTGTGCATCTTAGTAAAGATGCGTATTTGGGAGGAACAGAAACTCCTATTTAAGTATTTCATGCTTCTTGAAAAGTTCCTTACTGTTGTGGTCCACTGGCAGCCTGCGGAGACAGCAGCAGAGTTGGACAGTGGGGAGGAACATGGGGCAGTCTGGGAGTCTGGGGAGGACTCAGACGAGGGTCCTGCGTCCAATACAGAGATGGAGCCAGGGCCATCTGGGAGTTACGTGCTGACTTCAGAGTCTCCAGAATCTGACAGCAGCAAGATAGAGAAACAGAAGGCAAGAACAGCTAAGACAAAAGGGGTGACTCAGGAGAAAGGCTTGGAGGTGATTGGCCCTCCCATAAGACATAAAGGAGGAGCAAAGGGACATGAACCTTTGCAGGAAGCAACTTTGTTTGTACTGGTTGGTTTGAAACCTGAAACTCCATGTTGGATTTGTGCTCCGTTTTGGCCTCGTATAACTAATTGGACATTTAGTTATTGGCAGCATTTCAAGAAAGATAAAGGTGTCTGCTTATCAGACTTATCCTGAAGGACTTTGGCAGACTTCTGTGGGACTATTTACAAACTGTTTGATATTCATTACGGGCTGTGAATGACTATAATTCACAGCCATTGAAATAAAATAAAAGGTTTTTGGGACTAATGTCTGTTTGTTAATGTCTCAGAAAGCCTTGGTCAGAACACTTACAACAAAAAGTCTTTCAGAAGATCTCTGAACTCAGAAGGAGGTCCTAACCTTGAAGTAATATGCCAAAGGACATTGATGGGCAGATAATAACTAACAGAATAACAAAACAACAGAAAAACAGAGTTGGAAGGGTCCTTGGAGGTCTTCTAATCCAAACTCATGTTCAGGCAGGCAATCCTATATCATTTCAGAAATATCTCCAGTGTTGTAGCATCCACAACTTCAGGAGGCAAGTTCTTCTACTGGTTAATTGTCCTCACTGTCAGGAAATTTCTCTTTAGTTCTAGGTTGCTTTTCTTCTTGATTAATTTCCATTATTGCTTCTTTTCCCGCCTTCAGGGCTTTGGATAATAGCTTGACTCCCTCTTCTTCAAAGGAAAATGGAAGAAGGATACTGAAATACTATACGGTAGAGATAGCAATAGCGCTTAGATTTATATATCGCTTCACAGTGCTTCACAGCCCTCTCTAAGTGGTTTACACAGTCAGCCTATTGTCCCCAACAATTTGAGTCCTCATTTTACCAACCTCAGAAGGATGGAAAGCTGAGTCAACTTTGAGCCTGGTGAGATTTGAACTGCCAAACTGCAGGCAGACAGTCAGCAGAAGTAGCCTGCAATACTGCACTTTAACTACTGCGCCACCATGGCTTATGATGTCAATATTCAAGATACCTCTGAAGATATTCCTTACTTACATGCATCTCTACTACTAGAAGATGAAGCTAGATCAACACTCTAGTCACTCCAAGGTGGGAAGCTACAGCACCATTTGGAATACTCACTGAAATATGACAAACCTCAGAAGAAAAGTCCATGCAGGTTCTAACCAGAGGTGGGATTCTACCAGTTCTGTCTACCTCTGTAGAACCGGTAATTCTGAAGAGCAGCAGACAGAGAGCATACATAGAACCGGTTCTATGTCTGCTGCTGTTTTGGCCCACCCGCCCGCCCGGGCTCTTACCTGGCCTTTATTTCATGCTTTTTCAACCTCAGCTGCTTTGCGCGACACAGCTGCGGTTAAAAAAGCAGGAAAAAAAGGGCTTTTCCAACCGCTGCACACTTGCACGCAGTGCTGCTGAGCTGTCCAGGCAGCTCAGCAGGTTGTAAATTGCGCTCGCGCGACAACCTGCAGTTATACCGGTCGGATCCCATCCCTGGTTCTAACCAAGGTATGTCAACAAATCTAGAGATTTGCACAATAGCCAACAGATGAGAAGAGATCAATCTACATTCCAATATCCAAATGGGGAGAGGCAAAGGGTTGGATTAGAAGACCTTCAGGGTCCCTTCCAACTCTGTTATTCTGTTATTAATTTGCCCTATGCTGATGGACAGTACCCTGATAGCTGAGCGTGCAAAAGTTCTGCAGGCCATACTACTAAAAGTCAAGTATCACAATGAAAAAAAAAACATGAAAAGCAAAATCTCCTTTTCACTGATTGGCAAACAGAGTAAACAGTTCTGTTTCTTCTTCGTCCCAGTTTGTGCTAACAGCCAATATGTTGCAGAGGGTAATGCATTAGATTGGGACTAAGATGACCCAGGCTGCAGCCCATCTTAACTGAGGTTCCCTGGGTGATGTTGGACCAGTCATTCTCTAAGCTGTCTTTACTTCACAGGGCAGTTGCCATGAGAACAGAGTAAGAAATAATCTCCACCAGGGCCAACGTGAAATCCCAGAAGAGAGAAAGAAATCAAATGTAATAAATTAATTCATGGAAATTCTTACAATTTTGTCTCTAGGTGAGTTGGGTGGCACACAAAACTAATAACAAACAAATAACACCTCCTTTAATTTACACAGACCCTCCTCCTCCTCCTCCTCCTCGTCCTCCTCCTCCTCTTCTTCTTCTTCTTCTTCTTCTTCTTCTTCTTCTTCTTCTTCTTCTTCTTCTTCTTCTTCTTCTTCTTCTTCTTCTTTTTCTCCCCTTCTCTTTTTCCTTCTCCTCCTTCTCCATTCTCCTTTCCTCCTCCTCTTCCTCCTCCCCCTTTTCTTCTCCTCCTCCTTCTCCTCTTCCTCCCTTCTTCTCCTGCTCCTCCTCCTTCTCCTTCCCTTTCTCCTTCTCCTTCCCTTTCTCCTTCTCCTGTCTCCCCTTCTTCCTCCTCTTCCTCTTTATTCTTCACTGACACCAGCAAATCTTGGTTCAAATAAAAAGCAAAGAAAGAAATGTTCATAAATAATCCCAAGCATGATCTTAGCAATAGCAACATTT